AAGAGTAAATCCTGCGTTTTACTGTTTTCCAAATGAAAGAGATACATTAAGCCGACATCAGCGTTTTTTGGACTTTTTGGACGCCCAAACAAATACCAACGATGCTTCTTCAGATTTTACAAAAGGATGGGAAGTCTACTTGCAATGTCCACAGCAGTGTTGTAATTATTGTTACGCTCAACAATGAACAGCTCTGTCCGGTTTAAGCGATTCCATTGTAACGCAACTATTCTTCGGCTAATTGTGAACGCAATGAGATGAAGTGCAAACTGGTCGAGTGTCCTGTTGCCCTTTCTTGTCTACTACAAAACCACAATAAGCTATGATAAACATTGACGTCCAGTTTATATTGAAGTACAATCTAGAACGGCTAACACCCGATGTAATGTCCCCCGTGATATCACTATCAGACTCGTTATCTCGGGCGTCTAATCGGACGGACGCAGCCACTGGCGCGCGCGAGTAGACACTCTCACAACACTGTCACTTGTCTCCAGCCGTGATAGTAGGCCTATCACATGACAGACACGGTGTCACTCGCACTCTCCCTATCACTATCCGATCCACAGTCAATGACAATTATCTATAATCAATGATTAATATCTATAGTTGATAATTAGTATCCAAAGTCCAAAGATCCAAAGAATCCAAAGATAAGTATCTAAGTCGATGATCAGGATTCAAAGTCAATGATAAGTATCCTATGTCAATTTGTAATATCAAGAATCAATTAAGTATCCATAATCTATTATCAGTGTCCAAAATGGATGAAGATTAGTATCCAAAGTGAAAGTTTAGTGTCCAAAATCATTAATTAGTATCCCAAGTTAATTATTATCATCCAAATTCATTGATAGGTATCCACAAATCAACGATAAGTATCCTAAATCAATTATCATTATCCAAAGTAAAAGAATACATTTAAGAATTAAATGATAATCTGTAATGATTTTTAAAATTCAATGATTAGCATTTCCAAAATCAATGATCAGTATCCAAAGTCTATGACTCCCTTGGTGGTCAAAACGCAATCTTGATCCAAAGTCAATGATAAATGTCCAGACTAATTGATAAGTATGCAAAACCAATAATCAGTATCCAAAGTCTACGATTCCCTAAGAACAAGACTTAAGAACAAGCTTTAAGAACAAAACTCGAACTTGACATTCCGCTGGAGGGCAGCCGAAGATGGACTCGAGCCAACAGTTTGGTTGGCAAACAGTCCAACAACCCAACGACCAACGACCGACACGGTGGCTTGACCCAAGGCCGACCAACCAGCTTTGTCGAACCCGGCCTTGCACACAGTGATTGTTTCCGTATTTCATACATTGCTGGTAATTATCGCTGGGGTAACCGCGTTATAGGTTTTTAACAACGCAATAACGAGTTTCTTTGCGGTGACCAGGATCTTTGTGGTTGTAAATAGAAGGTAGGGCTTTGTAAAGATGTTTTTCGGCTTCCAGTGACATTATATGGATGTAGGACCCAGCTGTCTTGATCATTGGGCTTTTTAAATGGTCCTGGATTATGAATCAGCTGATCTTAGTCAGCAACAGAGCTAAAAATCAAAAAGTTCATTTTGAAAGACGTTTGCTTTAAGATACGATTGTAAAATCGTAAACTATGTTGAAGATAACTTTTGTAAACCAATACGTATAGAGGCTAGGACGTAAAACTACCAAAAGTTGCAAAATCAGTCAAATGGGCCTTTGATGGAGAAATTACGAAACTATGTTTGAATGGTGAATGATTATGGGCTTACAAACATTGCGTCATATCTGTCAACTTAGACGATTCATGATTGCGCAAAGAGCAAAACTGTTTAAATTACGGGGGAACTATTAATCATGAATGCGTTTCTAATAGAATAACAAGTAGAATAATGATCCAGTGTTACTGTTGTCTTTTCTTCTGTAAAAATTAAGGATTTTTTATATTTCTGATCCTGTTCCTTATTCGATTACGAAACAACATGATGAATGTGATAATTCTCTGACGATATTAATTAACTGTAAATATTGTGTAGATATGTTATTTGGTCATGGCTGTTAGTCTAGCTTGTTGTATGGTTAGAATTGATAGAATTGGCTTTGTGTCATCATAATTAATCATATGCTCGTAAAATATACATTCCAAATATATGAAGCAGAATTACCTAGTTTCCCTCCAAAAGAACACAGACATATAACATATTTCTTTTTTTGAGACCCAAGTAAGATATCATACAACAGCAAAACATTGTTAGTCCAGTCAATGAATGATCCAAAAGTAGGTGTAGAGTGCGTGAGCAGGTAACTAAGCGATTCCTTCAGAAACTTGTTCAGGGGGCTTAGGGTGTTAACATACCAAAAGTCCTGACTCCTAGGTGGTGAGCCAGGGGGTGGAGGGGGAAAAAAGGGGGGGAAAAAGGTACGCATTTTGGGTTTTTTGATTATATCTCGAAAACTATCAACTTTTTGTATACTATAGTAAATTATAAAATTGAAGAAGATTAAATTTTCTACATGAAAAGTATATAATGTGTTTATTTTGGCTCAACAGATTACGAGTTATAACTTATTTAATTGATATCTTATTAAAATACTCCTTCCATAAGAAATACATGTAAATTAGTATGCGAAATGGGGCGAATCCTATCCGCCCAAAGGAAATATAACTGATATTCTAGAAATATTGACAAAATTTTCAGTAATTTGACACTTTAATCATGAAATTTTGTCAAAGATTAAAGCGAGGGTGAGCGTTTAAAAATGGGATGATTTAAGGTTTTTTTTATATTTCCAATAAAAAAAACACCAAAACTCGAAATTTTGTTACCTCGCCCTCGCCTTAATTTTGGATCAATTTTAATGATTAAAGTGTCAAATTACTGGAAATTTTGTCAAGATTTCCAGAATATCATTTATATTTCCTTTAGGCGGATAGGATTCGCCCCATTTCGCATACTAATTTACATGTATTTCTTATGGAAGGAGTATTTTAATAAGATATCAATTAAATAAGTTATAACTCGTAATCTGTTGAGCCAAAATAAACACATTATATACTTTTCTTGTAGAAAATTTAATCTTCTTCAATTTTATAATTTACTATACTGTAGTATACAAAAAGTTGATAGTTTTCGAGATATAATCAAAGAACCCAAAATGCGTACCTTTTTCCCCCCCCTTTTTCCCCCCTCCACCCCCTTGCTCACCACCTAGGAGTCAGGACTTTTGGTATGTTAACACCCTAAGCCCCCTGAACAAGTTTCTGAAGGAATCGCTTAGTTACCTGCTCACGCACTCTACACCTCATTCCTTGACTGGACTATGTTACAAAAACTACTGTAAGAATAATACTGTAACATCACCTTCGCTAACGGAAGCTTTATAAAAAGTGTATCAAAACGGATGTTCTTTATTAAACATGAAGGGAAAGCTGCCCTGCGAATAGCTGAGGAAAAGGAGGGGAGGAATGGCGGCGTAATAAACCATTGATAATAATTAGCGTCCAGCGAGACTCAAGACCAGTTTATGTGCCAAGGTCGACCAGGAAATGCCGATACCACCTGTATTGCAGACAGTGGACTGCTCTCACGTGGGCAGATGTTTACACACTACAACCACATCACCTGTATTGCAGACAGTAGACTGCTCTCACGTGGGCAGATGTTTACACACTACAACCACGACACCTGTATTGCAGACAGTAGACTGCTCTCACGTGGGCAGATGTTTACACACTACAACCACGACACCTGTATTGCAGACAGTGGACTGCTCTCACGTGGGCAGATGTTTACACACTACAACCACGACACCTGTATTGCAGACAGTAGACTGCTCTCACGTGGGCAGATGTTTACACACTACAACCACATCACCTGTATTGCAGACAGTAGACTGCTCTCACGTGGGCATATGTTTACACACTACAACCACGACACCTGTATTGCAGACAGTAGACTGCTCTCACGTGGGCAGATGTTTACACACTACAACCACATCACCTGTATTGCAGACAGTAGACTGCTCTCACGTGGGCAGATGTTTACACACTACAACCACATCACCTGTATTGCAGACAGTAGACTGCTCTCACGTGGGCAGATGTTTACACACTACAACCACATCACCTGTATTGCAGACAGTAGACTGCTCTCACGTGGGCAGATGTTTACACACTACAACCACGACACCTGTATTGCAGACAGTAGACTGCTCTCACGTGGGCAGATGTTTACACACTACAACCACATCACCTGTATTGCAGACAGTAGACTGCTCTCACGTGGGCAGATGTTTACACACTACAACCACATCACCTGTATTGCAGACAGTAGACTGCTCTCACGTGGGCAGATGTTTACACACTACAACCACATCACCTGTATTGCAGACAGTGGACTGCTCTCACGTGGGCAGATGTTTACACACTACAACCACATCACCTGTATTGCAGACAGTGGACTGCTCTCACGTGGGCAGATGTTTACACACTACAACCACATCACCTGTATTGCAGACAGTAGACTGCTCTCACGTGGGCATATGTTTACAGACTACAACCACAACATCTGTATTGCACACGGTAGACTGCTCTTATGTGGACAGATGTTTACAGACTACAAACACAACATCTGTATTGCACACGGTAGACTGCTCTCACGTGGGCAGATGTTTACACACTACAATCACATCACCTGTATTGCAGACAGTAGACTGCTCTCACGGGGGCAGATGTTTACAGACTACAAACACAACATCTGTATTGCACACGGTAGACTGCTCTCACGTGGGCAGATGTTTACACACTACAACCACATCACCTGTATTGCACACGGTAGACTGCTCTCACGTGGGCAGATGTTTACTGACTACAAACAAAGAACCTTAACAGATTAACAGATGTTAAGAGATTACAACAAAATCACCTGTATTGCAGCCTACTTACTTACTACACATCTCCCTTCAGTTTCTTTGTTATACCCTTGACAAGCCTCTTGTTTGTTCCAGATGTACAGCAGGTCCCCAGAGACCGTTTGTGGGATGATCTCCATGTTGCTGGCCGAGTACTGTGTCGTCTCCCCCAGATTGACTCTGGCCGGGTCCAGTGCTGAGGTCGACCCCACGGCGGACGTCGCGCTTCTAGAGGGCGACGTCCTAATAGTGGAGGAGGGCTTCTGGATCAGAGATCGCCGCGGAGGTGAGGCTAAAGAGGCAGTTGTAGACCTTAAGTATTTAATTTTTTTATGTTGTGGTATTCTAGAAATATTATAATGAATGTGGTTCATATTTTAGCTTATATATTTTGATGAGTGGCAATCTTGAATTTTGGTTTTATAACTAATGTCGACTTTAAAACAGTTGTCGTGGAGTTAAGTTTGTTCTAGTTGAACTAAATATAAATGTGGAAGCGTGAAAGAGGTTTTATTTTTTACAATTAAGTACCTATTTCAGTTTTAGTCAACATAGGTAATCATTTTGTTAATACAGTCTTTTTGTTAAACAGTCTTTTTGGAACTTTTGTGGCTTTGCTTCCTGCGTCTCACCCTGATGACATACATGTACATAAATTGGTTGTTAAAGTAAAAGTCAGTTGCACCATGTACGCGTCACAAAACTGCCAAACACGGTATGTTTCAAAAAATCATAACAAGAGATATTTATTGTTTACAAAGAAACAGGTGGTACCACTGCAATAAGCTATAATTTCATATTATGATGCCAAAATAATTTCGATATAGTTACATAAGATCTCACAACAACAAAAACAAATCAATCTTTTTTTCGTGTTCGGAAGTGGCAGAGCGACTATAATAGTCGCAGTTGTAAAAGACATTTTGTCATTGACTATTGGATACTGAGTTGTATTAATGAAATTCATGAAATTCTGTGTATTGTGGTATTTAATTCGTTTAGATTGTACCACTGGTGCAGAAGTTATCAGCTGTTACTTTTCGTGAATATTTGTCTGACTTACTAACCTCAATCTCTGTTGACCAACAACTAACAAGTCGAGTTTTGGTGTGATTTTACTTTAGGTAGGTATTAGTTAACATCATGATTATAAGCTGTAAATTTGTAAATGCTTGGATTTGATATTATTTATTGTATCTTGACTGAAATGTGACATTACTTTCAGAAACTTGAGACACAATTTTTAGCCGGTTTTTTAGAACTTTTTTGTTTGTTTACTATCAACGAATAACGCGGGTTTTACTGTGACTTGATCACTTTGAATGATATTTATTAGTTGTAAATTTGTAGATATTTAGTTCGTAAACTGTTTCTTGAGCATAGACTTACTAAATTTGAGGTTTGGGACATTACATTTAGCCCGTTTCTGAAACATTTCATCATAGCAAAGACAAGATTTGAACGCCACATGGAAAAGGCATAGCAGCATTTTATATAAAACACTATAAAATATTTATTTATTTATATTTGCCTTTATTAGATAGGAGAATAAATTAACTTACATTTTCTATAGCTGGTATATGGGTTTCATATGTATGAAAAATTATATACATGTTTGAATAACAACGTTTTTTTTTCGAAACAAATATAAAGATTTGTAAAAGTCATAAAGATTTATAGTAATGATAATTTTCCATGAACAATTGTTACTTCATTTAGTCTCTTATGTTACTGTCTTTAAAAAAATGTACACTTTTACTAGATTTATTGGAAAAAAACTTATTTGATTTTAGTTTGAAATGCCTAGCGCAAAATCGTGAAAATTGCCATCATTTGGTTTTCAGGTTTATCACCAAAAGTTATCAGCATAACTTACTAAAACAAAATGGTAATTGAAATATTTTTACATTTCCATGTAGGGAAATAAGTTCCAAACATATTGTAATATTTAGAACTTCACATAAAGGTTTTTTGGTTCATACAGCAAAGTTTAACTTTCAACATTTCAAAATCTAATAACAATTTTTTTCTACCTAATGCCATTGTTCTAAATATTTATTTTATTGCCATTTTAATATTCTTCATTTCATTAGGAACAATTATTCAAGTATACGGTTCAATAGGTTTGCTCTGTTGGTTTAGTTTGTATGAGTTTTCGAAAATATTACTGCAAAATCACCAAAAATGCCTTGCCACTACAGAGTTCGCCCATTGCCAGTTGGAGGGTTAAAAATGCAGTTTTAAAGACTTATGGGTTTCAAAACTCAAATATAATATTTACCCAATAAATGCAAGAAAGTGTTCAAGTTGTTGTTTCCCAGCTATGGTACACATTGATTAGTTAGTCCAATAAATGATATTCGATAGATTATTGAAAGCTTAATAACTATCGGCGCAGATTTGGCTTCTACCGGCTGCAACAAAAAATAGACAAACCAACAAAATTCATACAGTTTTGTCTAATTGTCTTTTATAAAAAAAAAAAACTTAACTACTGTCTGTCGTTCTACAATCTGATTAGACGCCTGCAGGAAGCACACCTGCAACACGCCCAACAGTCTTGCGTTTGTGTTGCCGTAGTAGTTTATACGGCGTTGGACAATGCTTAGCAGATGTTTTTGCTGCGTTTTCCTATGTTTATCTGCAATTTATGTTAAGCAGCATGTTTATTATATGGTAATATGGTGTTATAACATATTAAGCATGAGTTTAACAGTTTGTATTACATTTAAAAGTTTTTCAGCATTATTATACGTTGCTGAGAAACATTTATAGGAGTTTTCAAATCAATAATAATTTGCCTAGTAAACTTATTTTCCTTGGTTTTCCAATATTGCGCCTTTAATACTACAGAAGTTGTCCCTTTCGTGTACACTATGTAAGCCAGTTTCAAAGATTTGTAATTTGTTAAACCATACGAAAAACTTGTTTCATGTACATAGTTACATATTTGTAATAATTAGTTGTGATGAATAATTAATTACATTTTGTTTTCAACTATAGTTTTTTACTTGACAAATTTTTCAAAATAAAACTTTAAATACCTACATGAAATGTTTCTTAGTACTTTTTATTATTATTAAAACCACGGAGTTTAGTATGTATATGGAGTTAGTTGGTTTTAGTTATTTTTTAACTCCTTCCTATTCTTTTTCTTAACAACCTTTTCTCACTAAACACTATCATAAATAGATTAGGTGATAAACTACGTACGAAGTACATAACAAGTACGAAAAATTTAGACACACAATTGTTTACCTGACAAGCGCCTTCAATATATTCTGTGACACAGAATACACACTGTTCCGTTGTAATGCAAGCATGTAGAAATTGAAGGCGACCATTAATCTCCACAGCTCCAATACTGTACATCTTTAATATTTTAGACTATATTGTATAATTTGGCAAAATATTCTTTTACTCATGATTCAATAACTGTAGTACATTTTTTTAAATCTATACTTTATACAAGGCAAAACCTCTCCCTTACTCGTTGTTCACTAGGTCTATATCTTAAAAACCACAAGTCATAAGAACTCAAGAATTGGAATGATGATTCCAATAATTAAGCTTAATTATTAAGCTCAAGGTGTGCAATAAGATGCGTTTTCGAGAAATTCCATGGCTCTACCCCAGTGGCCTTTAAAGTCCCCATATTATCCTTATAGAGAAAAGATTTGTTTATATTTGAACAAATGAATATTTTGGAATTTGATTGAACAGCTGGTGGTATTTATTTTGTTAAAATGAAAATATTTGCATTATTTTGTGACTTGAAAATTTGTCTATTTACTTCATAACACTTTCGATAAATGAATTTTAAAATCAGGATAAGTACACTATTTGATGTGGTTTTAAGATCTGTGTTTCTCAACAACTGAATAACAGTATATTATTTAATGTGTTCAGAATATTAATGTCAAAGGAACGACTATTAGTCCAGTCAAATGGGTTTTACAAATGTGTTGAAGTGGAAAGTTTATAGGTAGGCCTAATTGTTTTTAATGCTTACTTTATACTTTTGGGGCTGGTGAACACGAATCTGTAGTTGTCCAAACAATATTTATTTTGGCAAATGTGAGAAGAAGGAAAATGTAAACAATCATTATAGCCCTAAACTAAAGAAAACAAAAAAAATTTGTGTTTTCCAATGGACCGATTTTTGGCCAACTAAGCACTGCGTAGTACTGTAGAGTTGTACGGGTATCCTCTCCGTCGCTCCGGAGCACTCACACCCCAACAGTACCAGATGATGTTGTATCCCAATATTACTGTCTTTTGTTGTTGTACAGATGCGGACCCGAGGTACCGGGTGTGTGAGGAGTGGAACAGAGACGAGGAGCGCTACGTGGAGGCGCTGCGTAGTGCTGTAGAGTTGTACGGGTATCCTCTCCGTCGCTCCGGAGCACTCACACCCCAACAGTACCAGATGATGTTGTATCCCTATATTACTGTCTCTTGTTGTCGTACAGATGCGGACCCGAGGTACCGGGTGTGTGAGGAGTGGAGCAGAGACGAGGAGCGCTACGTGGAGGCGCTGCGTAGTGCTGTAGAGTTGTACGGGTATCCTCTCCGTCGCTCCGGAGCACTCACACCCCAACAGTACCAGATGATGTTGTATCCCTATAATACTGTCCCTTGTTGTCGTACAGATGCGGACCCGAGGTACCGGGTGTGTGAGGAGTGGAGCAGAGACGAGGAGCGCTACGTGGAGGCGCTGCGTAGTGCTGTAGAGTTGTACGGGTATCCTCTCCGTCGCTCCGGAGCACTCACACCCCAACAGTACCAGATGATGTTGTATCCCTATACTACTGTCTCTTGTTGTCGTACAGATGCGGACCCGAGGTACCGGGTGTGTGAGGAGTGGAGCAGAGACGAGGAGCGATTCGTGGAGGCGCTGCGTAGTGCTGTAGAGTTGTACGGGTATCCTCTCCGTCGCTCCGGAGCACTCACACCCCAACAGTACCAGATGATGTTGTATCCCTATATTACTGTCTCTTGTTGTTGTACAGACGCGGACCCGAGGTACCGGGTGTGCGAGGAGTGGAGCAGAGACGAGGAGCGCTACGTGGAGGCGCTGCGTAGTGCTGTAGAGTTGTACGGGTATCATCTCCGTCGCTCCGGAGCACTCACACCCCAACAGTACCAGATGATGTTGTATCCCTATATTACTGTCTCTTGTTGTTGTACAGACGCGGACCCGAGGTACCGGGTGTGCGAGGAGTGGAGCAGAGACGAGGAGCGCTACGTGGAGGCGCTGCGTAGTGCTGTAGAGTTGTACGGGTATCATCTCCGTCGCTCCGGAGCACTCACACCCCAACAGTACCAGATGATGTTGTATCCCTATATTACTGTCTCTTGTTGTTGTACAGACGTGGACCCGAGGTACCGGGTGTGCGAGGAGTGGAGCAGAGACGAGGAGCGCTACGTGGAGGCGCTGCGTAGTGCTGTAGAGTTGTACGGGTATCATCTCCGTCGCTCCGGAGCACTCACACCCCAACAGTACCAGATGATGTTGTATCCCTATATTACTGTCTCTTGTTGTTGTACAGACGTGGACCCGAGGTACCGGGTGTGCGAGGAGTGGAGCAGAGACGAGGAGCGATACGTGGAGGCGCTGCGTAGTGCTGTAGAGTTGTACGGGTATCCTCTCCGTCGCTCCGGAGCACTCACACCCCAACAGTACCAGATGATGTTGTATCCCTATACTACTGTCTCTTGTTGTTGTATAGATGCGGACCCGAGGTACCGGGTGTGCGAGGAGTGGAGCAGAGACGAGGAGCGCTACGTGGAGGCGCTGCGTAGTGCTGTAGAGTTGTACGGGTATCCTCTCCGTCGCTCCGGAGCACTCACACCCCAACAGTACCAGATGATCTTTGAGCCTACAGCTACTCTGGCGTCTGCTTGTGCTATACTACTGCATCAGGTGGGTTTCATTATTACAAACCTCAAATAATGAAAAGTAGTTGTTTATACCAGATATTTCGTCTCAGATGTGACATGTTTTTATACAAGATCGGGTTTCGGATCCTATCATATCCGTCATTATCATACAATTATCTGCTTGGCTAAGTAAATGAATAAGGCACGAAGAAAACATAGGAAATGAGTAAAACACGAAATTTACAAGTTGCTAGGCTTAATTTTTAATTGTAGTCACTGACCGTAGACCGTTCCAGAATGTTCTCTTGTGTGAACCGATAGAAAATAGGTAATTATCAGTTATTTGTTTAGTATTTTACCAATAGTTAATACAAGTATACATCACATCATAAATATTGGAAGAGTAATGGCATGGATCATAGACATAAACTAATTACATCACTGGCCAAAAGTAAATGGAGCTGTCATTCAGTGACGTCATTTGTTTATGTCTAGCTGTAACTTAATTTAGAATAAGTTAGTGTGCTAATGTTAGTTGCTGATTCTGATCAAATACGTCACTTTTTCTACCAAATCAAACTGAGAGGATAAAGCAACAATGGAATTTTTCGTGTCACACCAACAATAATAAAAGTAACGAAAAATCATGGGGATATTTCTATTTTGACAGGTGTCCATACTGTGAATAGCTCATTCAACTGTGTCCTATCAGATTTTTTTTAAACTCTAAACTACTAAAATAGTTGTTAGATTTATCTATGACTGTACATTTACAACCCCTGCGACTAAATATACCTATACATAAAGTCACTTATTGAGGAATGTTTTCACAGATGAAAAACGTGCTGCTGACATGGGACAGTCGTACTTCTACAGTGGGTAAGTGTAGGCTTAAATCAACGATATATTTATTTTTTAGATGTTATTTATGTAATGTTTCCATGTTATTGGGTGTTGGACACGACCTGGATAGCTTTAGAATAAATTAAGAATAGTACATTATCCAGTGACCTATTTAAATGCACTATCAAACAACTAAGTAATGCTAAATGTCAAGAACAAAAATCATAAATTTCGGTTGGACTCAAAGATGTTTACTATAATAGTGTATTTGCGCCCAATATATTACTATTTGTGTAATATTTATATGTTATGTTTATAAAGCCTAAAACTACTATACCGTATTATTGATTAATGCATTTATTTGGGCATGGACAACCAAATAGACACTGTTTCGCCTTTTTTGAAACCCTGACGAGTTGTAAACATGGATTGTACAAAATTACACTAACTATTGATTGTCTATTGATTGAGATCGTTGAAAAATATAGCCAAACGAGGAAAAAATTGCCATTTAATCTAACCACGTAAACCATAAATATTTTAATAGTCTATATGTTTCTACATCTAAATAATCTTCATCAACAAAATACTGATGACTATTTCCGCTGCAAGCGCAACATGGCCAAAGCTTGCAAAACATAAAAAAGTTTAAGGAAAAGTTACAAATAAGAAACTAAACGCGAACATAATACGAAACGAGAAAATGATCACGAAGTGGTCCCGACGGTGGCTGAACCTATCAAAACCTACAAATAATAAATCTTAGCGTCTCCAAACAATCAAATAGTTCCATTCAATTCCCTTTAGTCAGAAACAGTTTAAAACATTCAACTCATTATATGACAATCAATAACGACGGTGACTGTACAAAAACATTGTTTACTTTTCGATCCCATCTTCAACAGTTAATTACTCCAGAGGTCTTTGGATATCTCCGGAGGTCTTTGGATATCCTCGGAGCTCCTTGGAAGTCTTGGACAGGCGATCAGCTGTGAGTTATGACCCTATCGTCCGTCATTCCAGCTGTTATTAGATGGTAATTTCTATTAATCTGCCGACAGACAATGGGAAATGATTTACTGACGGTGATATCGGCTCTGACGCGGGAATCGATTTAGTTTCTCGTAATTAAAGATAAGTCGTCTCGGAGCTGGGAAGGTCAAAACCAGAACCACTTTCTCTCTCGTCTGGTTTTTGCCAACAGGCGTGCATAACCCGGTGATAAAGCGAATCGGGCGTGATGTGTGCAGAAGTGTTTTTATCGCTAATGTAACAATTAATTGTTGACGTTGTCGTCAAGTTGCAGTAGGCTGAAAACCCTTCTGTGGATGTTTCAGGATTTTTTTCCAGCCTTGTCCTCTTCAACCTATTACTGTAATTGGTGTTTTTACGTCTATGCAATCCACAACTCGCTGAAATCTAGTTTCAAATACCACATAAATGCCGTATATCAAATGTTTATTTTCAGGCTCACTACTATATGTTTTGTCGCTTCAATTGAAGGTGATCACGAATAATAAATTTACAATACATTCGTACACGCACTAAAGAAAATAATCCATATTACTGAACGGACGAAATGTGATCGGGTGGAATTAAAATATAAATTACTTGCTCTACACGAGTTTTAGCACTCAAATGCAATAACTAAACTCTCAAGAAAGTTGTCTAGCGAAATACGAATTTTCCTGAGGTAGTGGCTGTCACAAAACATGTTTTTAGTCCTATTAGTATAAGTCCCTATTTCCAAAATTTAGTTAAAATCCATCCACTGAAATTCGATTTATATTACAGACAGACAAACAGACATTGCTCGTTTAGAGAATAGGATATTATCAAAATTCAGATGATACAAATACAAGCCCTAAAGGAAAATATCGAAACGGCAATGTTTCTATGTTATAACAGTTCTCGTTGCAGTACTGTAGCTGTAGAAAACTGTATGTTCCTAATTTGAATAAAAACGTAGATACTTTCTAGACTGTAGGCGTCAACCGTCGAAGCAGACACAAAGATGAAGATTCGACATAAATATATGTATTCAAATAGATTTTTCTGACGTAGGTACTAGACAGTGGAAATTCCATCCCCATGTTAAGTTGTCACCAGTTTTTAAATCCAAATCGTCGTAGTTGATATGAGCCATTGACAGATTGTTCTGATCTAAATCATTAATTTCTGCTCAACACAAGATCTTTTGTACTAAGTCAACCCTGTAGAACTACTTATTTTAAGCTGCAGCAACTATTATGACCAATTAACTAGGTACATCCGCAACATAATAAAAGGTACAAAATAGAATTTTAGACACCAGCGCAATCCGTGACTGGCTCACACAACTATGTTCGTGTTCGATAAAAAATTTGTGACAGCTGGTCCATATAGATGGGATGTCTACTTCAGTATCCAATAGTAGACATTCCATCTCCATGTTAAAGTTGTAGCCAGGTTTTTAATCAAATTTGTCTTAATTGATTTGAGCCACCTACAGATTGCGCTGATCTAAATGACTAATTTCTGTTTAGTACACGATGGTTTTTACCAAGTAAAACTGATGGACCGACTTATTGTGAGCTATAGCAACTGTTATGACTCATCAACTATATCAGTAACAATAGATAACGTCGAAAATAGAATTTTAGACACTAGCGCATTCTGTGACTGGCTCACACAACTACATTCATTTTTAGTAAAAAGTTGGCAACAGCTGGTCCTTATAGATGGGATGTCTTCTTCAGTATCCAATAGTCAATGGAATGGTTATTTGATTTATAACTCTATCAGTTGACAATGCTGAGTGTAATGTGAGGTTGCAATCCCAGAATTCCTCCACGAAAGTAATGTCGCCAGTTACCTCCATTCACCCTCGGTCGAGTGGATTGACTGACCTTTTTGAAAGACACTAAATTGGCCAATAATACGAGTTTGTCGGTTGACAGGTGGCCGTGATCTTTACAAATCAGTGCAATGTTGTGGAATCCAAACTGGGTATTGGTTAGTGCAAGAGCATTGTGTCATTGAAAACTGCATAGAATGTAACATCTAGTACTAACGAAGGGTCGGTCGTAAACTATATTAAATGTAGACAACTACAAGTTTTGTGATATAAATGTAAAACATAAAAAACATAGTGGTAAATATCTCGCTAATGGGATGTTTTAGGATAAAAGGTTATTCTTGATTTTCGTTTTAATTTGACTCATTAAACCTATTGTTGGTTTTACTTACGGGGCACTCTGTATAGATAATTTTTACTTTCAACACGAACGTTGATTAAAGATTGCAACACTTTAGTATGCGTTTTGTGTTGCTTGTGGTTCAGCCATTACCTATCCTGGCCTATCATAAACTAGCCAAAGTACAATACATCTTGTAGGTTTACCTGATTTCTAAGTGGGACAGTCAGTCCCACTCCGATCCCTCATTAGTGCTGATACTGACTGTCCAGAATCGGAAAACCGGTCAAATCCCAAGTAAAATGCATTGTTTGAAAAAAATATTTAACTAATCTATATAAATTAGGCCTGCTTCGTGAATATTCACCCCGACTCTTCATTACTGCTGGGACTGACTGTCCTCGGCTGAACAGCAAAGGACAATTTTGACCTTGGAACTGAACGTCCATCAACCCACAGATCAATGAATGACAGAGAAATCTTATCTTAACAACACTCTAACTGGGAGGTTTATTGTTTTGTGATGGAGATGTGGTGTCGAGTTCATTCCCGTTATCCGCAGACAGTAAAGATGTAGGACGGAGGCGTGTATTGCGCTTGCGTTGTTGCCATTGGTATTTACACAGCTGGAGCGCTGGAGGTGTTAGCCAAAGGTATTGATGATGGAATGAGATTAACCGATGAAAAGAGAGGTCAATCAACTTCAGTCTACGAGGATGAATGGGCTTTTAATGATGTTGCGCTAGGGTATTTGAACTCGAGCGAGTATAGTATAAAACTAGCTGTGTACCCGTTCTACGCACGGGGATCTTATAATATTCAGTTGAAACCTTCTTATATAACGAACAGCAGTTGGTTTGCATATTTTAAGATATGCTGGCCAAACTATTATACATAGCTTCATTTTATGTTGTTTTTTGTTGTTCCGGATCGGTATGACAATCAATAAAAGGTTAAATTACCTCTGTGTCTGCCGGTCGATCCTATAACGGTAGGCTTACTTTTATTTTTACTATCTGATCTCGTTTGCATGGCTCAATCACGTCCTGGTTGAAGTTCGTTCGCTACGCTCACTCACCTGTATGTTGGAGCTCGTTCGCTGCGCTCACTTTCCTTCAGGTTAGCTCGTTCGCTACGCTCACTTGCCTTCAGGTTAGCTCGTTCGCTACGCTCACTCGCCTCCAGGTTGCAAATTAGCTGTTGTCATAAATGTAAAAGAAATAATAGTGCTAGTGCTGCACCCTGTTGGTAATCCTTGTAACTTTAATGCTATTGAACATCACAGAACAGAACCAACTTGTTTAATTGAAACAGCTGTTAAGATTCAATAATTTCATTTCTCATAAGGTTAACATGGGCTTCCAGAAATTCCACGTCAAAAATCGACAAAAACTTGATTTTCAAGGGTTTACTGTTAAATATCTAACTGTCTCATATTCGATGAAATACGTCTAAAACCATCTCATATATGTTTAGTATTTGGAAAATAAGTTTCAGGCGGGACAGTGCTATAGTTATTGAGGAGTAGTTGTAATAAAGTGCGTATTTTAGCGTTACCAAGAGAATGACAGATAGACAGACAGACAGACAGACAGACAGACAGACAGACAGACAGACAGACAGAAATTGAGATAAGGTTTGATTCGGTTTCTCTGACCTATGAAATGTAAAAATAACCAAAAAGTTCATTATTCTAAGCAATGTACAGACAAAACTCTAATTTTATTTATATAGATGTGCCACCTTTAATATTGTGGTATCCGTATGTACTTGAAATGATAGTGTACATTTTTGTGCCTGTGTTGTCATAATGAGTTTTCGGAGTTTGTCTTCGATTGGAACCGACAATGACGATGATTA